GGCTAGGCCAGGCTGAAGTCAGGAGCCTGAACAAAATTTGGGTTTCCCAAGAAGGTGGCAGACGATTTGAGCCATCATCTCTGCATCGCAGGGTGCTCATTAGCAGGAAGCTGGAGTCGAAGAGGCTGGAATGGAAACAGGCAGTCCTGGGAAGGAGGGAAGGAGAGAGGAAGGGAGGGAGGGAGGGAGGGAGGGAGAGAGAGAAATGAGCCTTCTGAGTCTTCCATGTGTCTTCCATGTGCTTTATTAACTTCCCAAATGGCTGCAATGGCCAGAGCAGGAGCAGGAGTCAGGAGCTTTTTCTGAGTCTTGCATGGAGCTTTAGGAACCCAGGCACTTGGGCCCCACTGCTGCTGCTTTCCCAGACACATTGGCCCGGAGCTGGATTGGCAGTTGAGCCGCTGGGACTCCAGCTGGCGCCCATATGGGATCCTGATGACTGCATGTGGTGGCTTAGCATGTTATGCCACACTGTTTTCTCTAAGGATTTTTCTTTCAAAATGCTCTTGTGTGGGATCTGGGAGATGCTGGCTAAAGGATACAAAATTTCAGTTAGATGAGCAGAATAAATTTGAGATTTGTTGGGCAGTATGGTAACTTTAGTTAATACCAATGTATTACTTTTAGAAGCATTTATAATTCTTGAGATGTGGGGCACACACACATGTTCACACACCCCAGAAAACTCTCCCATCCACTGGTTCACTCCCCACTTGGCTGCAGTGGCTAGGAATGAACCAGGTGAAGGCAAGATCCAGGAACTTAATTCAAGTCTCCCCCCTGGCTGGAAGGGACCTACTTATTCAAGGCCTACTAGTTGGAGCCTTCACTGCAGCCTCCCGGCATGTGTGAGCAAAAAGCAGCAGTGGGAGTGAAGCTCAAGCTTGTTGTTATTTGTTTACTTATTTTAAAAGATTTATTTATTTTTTTAGGATTTATATATATATATTTTTGATTGGAAAGCCAGATATACGGAGAGGAGAGACAGAGAGGAAGATCATCCATTTGTTGATTCACTCTCCAAGTGGCTGCAATGGCCAGAGCTGAGCTGATCTGAAGCCTGGAGCCAGGAGCCTCTTCCTGGTCTTCCATGCAGGTGCAAGGTCCCAAAGCTTTGGGCTGTCCTCACAGGCAAAGAGCTGGGTAGGAAACGGGCCTGCTAGAGAGGAAGATCTCCCATCTGCTGGTTCACCCCCCAAGTGGCTGTAATGGCTAGAGCTGAGCCGATCTGAAGCCAGGAGGCAGGAGCCTCTTCTGGGTGTCCCATTCGGGTGCAGGGTCCCAAGGCCGTGGGCCGTCCTCCCTTGCTTTCCAAGCCACAAGCACAGAACTGAAAGCTAAGTGGAGTAGCTGGCACATGAACCGGTGTACATATGGGATCCTGACGGCTGCAAGGCGAGGATTTATGTAGTAGGCTATCATGCCAGGCCCCTTGGATTTCTTTTTAAGAGATTTATTTATTTGAAGGTAGTTATAGGAGAGATGGCTTGAGTGTTTTGGGGGCGTAGAGATCAATTTTCTATCTGCTGATGATTCACTCCCTGTAAGGAGTGACTCAAAACAGTGACCCCAAAGTCATCCTGCCATCCTGGACTCAATGGCACTTTGAATGCCTTGAGTGCCTGCTGACCCAGTCCTGCTTTAAAACCCCTAGTTTCAGGCCCCTTGAATACCTGGTTACCCAGCAGTACCATAAACCTCCTAGATCTCAACCCCCTAAGGCCCACTTGCCTAATTAAGCTTAGTGACCTTCAGGTTTAAAGTGTGCACTCCACCAATTCCCTTGAGAGTATATCCCTGGTGTCCGAGACAGCCAGCGCGGGACCCCACACCTCATCCCCCTGCCCCGAGGCTATAAAAGATGCCTCTTCCTATTGTTCTCTCCTTTCCTCCTCCACTCTGTCTCTCTCTGCTCTTGTCCTCTGCTCTGCTCTGTATCTGTCCCTCTCTGCTTTGCTCTCACTCTCTCCCTGCCCCATGCTACCTCCCTCACTGAAACAAAGGCCTCTTTGTATGGCTCACTTACTGTGTCCAGTGTCTGCCACAGCCAGACTGGGACCAAGACGGAGGCAGGAACTCCATCCTGCTCCCCGTGTTGGTGCCAGGGAGCCTGGGCACTTGGGCTGTCTTCGTTACCTTCACAAGGGAGCTCGATCTGAAGCAGAGTCCGTAGGTCTTAAACTGTGGGCTATTTGAGTATCAGATGGCAGCTTCATCCACTGCACCTCAATGCCAACTCTGCGAAACAGGCTTCAGATACGAGCCACGGGTGTTCCAACCAGCAGCTTAACTGCTGTGCCAAATCACCAATGCTGTATCGCCTTTGAAAGTGCTGAGAGTAGATTTTTAAATGTTCTCATTACAGAAAATAATATGTGAGGGAAAGTACTCGTTAGCTGCTGAAGCATTCCGTGATGTGCCTGTGTGCTTGTCAGCGCTGAACCAAGACCGGCAGTGTGCCGGAGCTGTTGGTCCAGCAGGAGTATATTAAAACAAGAAACAGTATGTTAAAAACCTGTGATAAATATAAATGTATATAATTTTTGTGAATTGGAAAATATTATAACTTAAAAACCTGGTTATTGCTATTATCATGTGGCAGGGAGAATTCAGTATTTGTTGATTAAATACTAGACACGTGACTAAATTTAGAAATATATTTGGTTTTATTATAACAGCTTTTACATACACTTGGAAGATGTTTGGCATTTGCTGTTTTTATTTATTCATGTTAAGATTTACTTTACTTGTTTGAAAGGCAGATTTGGAGAGAGCGTGACTTTTTATCAGCTGGTTCACTTTCCGCATGGCTGCAAAGGCCAGGGCTGGGCCAGGCAGAAACCAGGAGCCAGGGGTTCAATCTTGGTTTCCCATATAGATGTGTCGGGGGAGCCCCAGCACTCGAGGCACCCTATGCTGCTTTCCCAGATGGATTGGAAGTGGGATAACTGGAACTGGAATGACACTCATATGGGAAGGGGCATGCAGGCAGCAGCTTGGCGTGCTGTGCCACAGTGCAGGCTGCATGCTTAGCCCGTGTTCACACCAGGAGAGGAAGTGGTCTTCAGAAAGTAGGATGTGGTTGATAATTCAGATGTGGCAGAAACTCCTGGATTCCCAAGGCCCAGACACTCACAGATGATTGAAAGTAACTTGTGTTGTGTTTAAGATATACATGCAAGATGTTATTAGTAGTTAATAGGTAGTTTAATTACACTGGTCCAAATGTTGTAAGAGTATTCATTTTAAATGGCATTTTGCCATTTAACATGGTTTCCTAGTATACTTACCATTAAGCCTTTTCTCCTTGTTCTAGTAGGTTAGGAAAATGTGGTTGATTTAGAGACTAAATCTAGGGCCCAATGTGATGACTCAGTTGCTAAATCCTCACCTTGCAAGCGTTGGGATCTCATATGGGTTCTGGTTTGTGTCCTGGCTGCTCTACTTCCCATCCGGCTCCCTGCTTATGGCCTGGGAAAGCAGTCGAGGATGGTCTAAAGCTTTGAGACCCTATAGCCCCATGGGAGACCCAGAAGTAGCTCCTGGCTCCTGGCTTTAGATGGGCTCAGCTCCACCATCGCAGCCATTTGGGGAATGAACCAGTAGATGGAAGATCTGTCTCTCCTTCCCTTTGTAAATCTGATATGCCTTTCCAATAAAAATAAATACATCTTTAAAAAAAAAAAAGGAAACTAAATCTAGATGGTCTCAAATGTCTTGTTATTTAATGCTATCAGTGTAGCAGTCAACCCTGAATTACACACGTTGTGTTGTCAGTGCAGTGTAACCTAGTCTGTGGAGCATATCTTTTGGAATTAATGCTTTAACTGTTAAATTATGGGATTTTATATCTCATCCCTTTCCTCTACTGGGTCTTCAACATGGGTGCAGAGGCTTAAACACCTGGGCCATCCTCTACTGCTTTTACAGGCCATAAGCAGAGAGCTGGATTAGAAGTGGAGCAGCTGAGGGCCTGGCGTGGTAGCCTCGTGGCTGAAGTCTTAGCCTTGAATGCGCCAGGATCCCATATGGGCACTGGTTATAATCCCGACAGCTCCACTTCCCATGGAGCTCCCTGCTTGTGGCCTGAGAAAGCAGTGGAGGATGGCCCAAAGCCTTGGGACCCTGCACCTGTGTGGAAGACTGGAAATGCTCCTGGCTCCTGGCTTCGGATTGGCTCAGCTCCAGCCATTGTGGCCACTAGGGGAGTAAATCATCAGCTGGAAGATTTTCCTCTCTGTCTCTCCTTCTCAATGTATATCTGACTTTGCAATAAAAATAAATAAATCTAAAAAAAAAAAAAAGTGGAGTGGCTGGGACACAAAATGGCACCCATATGCAATACCTGCAGTACTGGGCGGCAGCTTTACTCACTATGCCATGGCATCGGCCCCAGAGTTAGTCATTTTCTTATCTGCTTGATGAGAGTTCTTTTTATAAAGTCACAGTTTTCTTTTATTTTTTTTGAAAGATTTATTTATTTTTATTGGAAAGTGCAATATATAGAGAAAAGGAGAGACAGAGATCTTCCATCCCATGGTTCACTCCCCAAGCAGCCCTAACAGTCGGTGCTGAGCCAACCTGAAGCCAGGAACCAGGAGCCTCTTAAGGGTCTCACACATGGGTGCAGGGTCCCAAGGCTCTGGGCCATCCTCCACTGCTTTCCCAGGCCACAGGCAGGAAGCTGGATGGGATGTGGGACTGCTGGGACACGAACCGGTGGCCATATGGGATCCCAGCGCATACGAAGTGAGAGTTTAAGCCACGAGGCTACCACGCTGGGTCCTGAAATTATAGCTTTCTATAAGAACTGTTCTTTAGAACTAGCTAATAGCTATGAAAATTATTAATCCAGTTTTCTGGTTTTAAGTAACCCATGAGTTTTTTTTTTTTTTTCTCCTCAAGGCCTGATTATATGTTGACTAGTCATTTAATTAGTTTGGTTTTGGGATAATCTGCCTATTTTGAATAATGTTAATAGTCATGATGTATCTTTTCAGAAAGAAGAAATTATGTAAAGCCTTCATACTCCGGACGTGAAGGTTGAACGAAAGGGCCAGTGAGGAAGACCATGGCCTGGCCCGATGTATTTCGCAGGGGAGCTGTGTTCTCGAAGTTCAGCCACCATCACATTGCTGTGTTCCTGCTTACCTTCTTCAGGTAAGCGGTTCCTGAAGCTGCTCTTCTGTCCTGGTTTGTTCCTCTGTCCATCCTTCCGCAGTCCTTCCTTCCTCCCTTCCTTCCTTCCTCCCTCCCTCCCTCCCTTCCTTCCTTTTTTCCTTCCTATTTATTTGTTTGAAAGTCAGAGTTACAGAGAGAAAAGGAGACAGCGAGCAAGATCTTCCATGTGCTGGCTCACTCCTCAAATGGCCTCACAGCTAGGGCTGTGCCAGGTGGAAGTCAGGAGCCTGGAGCCTCTTCTGCAACTCCCGTGTGGTTTCTGGGACATAAGAACTGGACCATCCTCTTTGGCTTTCCCCGGCCACAAGCAGGGAGCTGGATGGAAAGTGGAGCAGCTGGGATGTGAACTGGCCCCCATATGGGATGCTGGCGCTGCCATCCGGGTCCAGTGTACTGTGCTATGGCACTAGTTCAGTATGTTGTATTTTCTTTTTCTAAGATTTATGTATTTTTATTGACGAGTCAGATATACAGAAAGAAAGAGAGACAAAGAGGAAGATCATCCATCTGATTCACTACCCAAGTGGCCACAACGGCTGGAGCTGAGCCAATCCGAAGCCAGGAGCCAGGAGCCTCCTCTGGGTCTCCCTTGTGGATGCAGAGTCCTGAAACTTTGGGCCATTCTTTACTGCTTTCCCAGGCCACAAGTAGGGAGCTGGATGGGAAGCAGGGCGGCTGGGATTAGAACCAGTGCCCGTGTGGGATCCTGACATGTACAAAGCGAGGACTTTAGCGGTTAGGCCATTGTGCGGGGCCTGACTCTTTGCTTTTTTAAGAAGAATTCTAAAACTGAATCCAGCAGATGGACATGTATCTCTCTTTTTATTTTACAGTTACTCATTGCTCCATGCATCAAGAAAGACATTTAGCAACGTCAAAGTCAGTATCTCTAAGCAGTGGACCCCAAATGCCTTTAACACATCGCTCGAGCTGCCCGTGGAGGTAAGCAGCACCCAGTCCCCGCTGCTGCCCAGGAAGGGGACTGCTGAGTCAGTTCTTTCTGTTACTGCCACGCTTAGGACTCTGTCATGCTTATTGTTCCCTGTTCATTCCCAGCTGTTCCCACCATGCCAACGCCTGCACCAAACCAAAGCGTTTTACCCGTCCAAACCAGCTGTTGCTCACTGCTTTAAAATCCCACCGTCCTCGCCCTGGGTATTATTTTCCTGCGTTCCACCAGCTCCATTCTTTCTGCCTTTGAGACGTGGCTTGTCATCTTTAACAACCTCTCTTACCTTTTCCCCTTCTCTCTGAATTTTCGTTTTCTTTCAGAATCAGGAGAAAATGCCACTTTTTCGCAACTTCTATGGATTTTCCCTGAACTCTTGCTTCTGCTGAATTACGTTGTCCAGTGTGTCTAGATTTAAGCAGAAGCCAGGGAACTAGCCCAGTTTCCTAGTCTCCTTCTTTTTTTTTTTTGTTTTTAATTTATTCTTATTGGGAAGTCAGATTTACAGACAGAAGGAGAGACGGGGAGTAAGATATTCTGTCTGCTGAGTCGCTCTGCAGGTGGCTGTATAACAGCTGGTGCTGCACCGATCCGAAGCCAGGAATCTCTTCTGGGTCTCAAGGGTGCAGGTCCCAAGGCTTTGGGCCGTCCTTGACTGCTTTCCCAGGCCACAAGCAGGGAGCTAGATGGGAAGTGGAGCCTCTGGGATTATAACCAGTGCCCATTTGGGATCCTGGCACGTTCAAGGCGAGGACTTTAGCTGCTAGGCCATGCTGCCGGGCCCTAGGGAAATCTTTTCTTATTGCTGTGGAAAGCTAACACCCAGATCCCGCTTCACTTCTGGGAAAAGAAACTTGCTCTTTTTGGAAGTGGACATTTGTTTTTTTATTCAGTTCTTTGAAGAATTATACATCTTCCTAAGTTCCTCTTGTTTGGGTAAAATGTCCATAGCTCCTTCAGTTGTAGTTTGGTGGCATTGAGCACTAAATGTGGTGTATTTCATGTATAGTCTGACAGTGAGAAAGGAAAGCAGGCTTTGCTGTAGGTACCAGATTACTTGTTACACTTGTTGGCGACAGGGTTGGGATTCCCCCGGGGTTGACATTTTACTGCTACAACTCACAGGACTCTGCAGACAGTACTTGGGAATCTGACATCACACAATCAACTGACACACAGTCTCTGAGAAGAGGTGATGGATGGGGTCAAGACTGACGGAAAGCAGGCCAGCAGTTCTGAGAGTGCTCGCTGATTAGGGCTACACAGGATGTGCTGAGTTCTTCTGGCAACAAGCTGTGAGAACACACTTGGCGTGTTGTATACAGGGGAAGGCATGAGAGGCTCTGTGCAGGGTTTATTGGAGCTGATCACCTGGTACCGTCTGTCTGGCAGGTTCCCGGATGGAAATCAGGAGTGCAGCATAAGCTGCAGTGTGTTTATAAACAGCTTCAGCACAGTGAGCTGCTGCCGCAGGCATCCACTTCCATCTCCCGAGGCCCGACGGGGCCAGCCTTGCAAGCAGGCCTTGCTAAGGAGCAGTGTCTCAGCTTGCTGCGTGTCAGTCTTTACGGCAGTAGCTGAACCATGCTGTTAGCACTTACGGAATGTGCATGGACGTGTCTCCTAAGGGGTCTGTTTACTGCTGTACTTGAAGTGTTATTGAAATACACTTCGCCACTCTGGTTTTTTAGAACTACAAATTGGAAAGGTTGGAGGAAGTGGTTCTATGGAAGCCAAGTTGTGACCCACTGAGATCTGTGGGTTTCCTTGTATGGCTGCCCTGATGGGGAGCTGAGCTAACTGCCCGTTTCTTGTTTTTCTTTTTTTTCCTGAGGCCTGCTGCTATGGAGGGAGTGGTTAGGGAGGTGTGTACCTCCCTGAAATCTTGTGATTTGGGGTCTGAAACTGTAACACTAGCTTACTGTATGTTATGCCGAGGACAATGCCAGGAACACAGTCTCTCTGTATTCTCTGCCTCTGCTCTCAGAATCTCCTGTGTCCGCATCCTCCATGGGTCACATATGTAACCTTTATTTTCTCAGCATTTCTCACTTAGAGAACTCATGCAGAAACCGTTAGTAAGTGCATAGGAAAGGCCTCAACATCTAGCCAGCATAGTACAAGTTGAATGTCCCTATTCTGAACATCCAAAATCTGAAATGATCCCAGATTTGCAACTTTTTGAGTTCCAGCGTGATTCTACCCTTGACCTCCTGGGACCTGTCACAGTCAGAACACATGTGCCTAAAAGTATTGTATAAAATTATCTTCAGATTACATGTGTAACCATCTAATGTACATAAATGTCTTACTTAGGCTTTCGTCCCATTCCCAAGGTGTTTTGTTAAACACACACACATATACGCACACAAATATTCCAAAATAAATCCGGAGTTCCTAGCTGTGTTCTCTAAGGGATAAACTTGTAATCTTCCATCCACTGGGTCACTTCCCAAGTGGCCACAAAGGTCAGAGCTAAGCCGTCTTGAAGCCAGGAGCCAGACTGATGCGCCGAGCCACCCAGCGGTGAGCCACAGTGCTTCCCGGCTGCCCTGCATGTGTTCCTCAGGATTTGGAGATTTTATTTGGTAGTAAAAGCAGTTTATGTTCCTAGCTGTAATTTTTCTCTTTAATATCCTAAGATGAAAATATCTTGGTACTGCCACAATCAGGAGATGGAGTGTTTTCTCCCTTTGTAGCTGCCGTTCTTGCTGCTCCGGCTGCAGCCACCTGCTAGTCAGTGGGAGATGAAGTACATTTTCCTTTGGGTGGAGGTAGACACACAATCTTTAATCTTTCTGGTTTTGTGCTGGAAGGGCGGTGACAGTCACTGCTTCTGCTGAATGGGCTTTTCTGTACTCACAGCGCAGCTCTCTCACTTAGTTGACTTAGCCACCAGCATTTGAAGGCTTTGGAAAGAAGTACTTGGGTTAGTTTTCCAGATGCGTTTGGCTTCAAAGCTGGTCCCTCAGCGGCAGCACAGGTCTCTTGGAAGCAGGCAGCTTTCCAGGCCCTGAGCCATGCGATCCTGGCCATTATCGCCACTGCCTGGGGGGTTGACCAGCCGGTTCTGGGCCGCAGCGCAGGGCATGGGGAGGTTGGGCGGAGGGGAGGTTGGGCGGAGGTGGGGTGTGAAGCACGCTGAGAAATGCAAAGCGCCTCCAGGTGCCAGCCAGGCTGACCTGTTCTGCCCTTGTGTTCTCGCAGGTGTGGAGCAGCAACCACTTGTTTCCCAGTGCTGAGGAGGCCACTCTGTTCCTTGGAACGCTGGATACAATTTTCCTGTTCTCCTATGCTGTGGTAAGCCTTGGGGACTGTTCTAGAATTGAACAAACTTGAAGTGTGTAGGGGACACGGGGTTTGCTGAGTGAGTGGTCATTGCTTCACTCTTTTTTTTTTTTTCTTTTTTTTTTTTTTTAAAGATTTATTTTTTATTATTTTTTCATTGGAAAGGCGGATATACAGAGAGGAGAGACAGAGAGGAAGATCTTCCGTCCGATGATTCACTCCCCAAGTGAGCGCAACGGGCCGATACTATGCCAATCCGAAGCCAGGAGCCTCTTCCGGGTCTCCCACGTGGGTGCAGGTTCCCAAAGCTTTGGGCCGTCCTCGACTGCCTTCCCGGGCCACAGGCAGGGAGCTGGAAGGGAAGCGGGGCTGCCGGGATTAGAACCGGCGCCCATATGGGATCCCGGCGTGCAAGGCGAGGACCTTTAACCACTTGCGCCACCGCGCCGGGCCCGATTGCTTCACTCTTGTGGAGCCCCTGGCGTGTGTCCGTGGGGGGTTTAACAGGCACAACACAAATCGAGTTTTTATTCCTGGGTTGGGGGTGAGGGGAGACATGCAGCAACAAAATGCTCTAGGTAAATAAATTACAGAGTAGTTGTAATGACGAGAATATGGTGAAAAGTCAAGGCAGGAAAGGGAAAGAAGTGACTAGGTAAAGCTTGTCACGTTAAGTAGTGCAGCTGAGACTGAGCGCCCAGAGAAGGCGGGACTCAGGTGAGCTGAGCGCGTGAGCAGAGTGGCCGGAAGTGAGGTCAGAGAGGCCATGGACGGAGGTGCCCGGTGCCCACCCTGGGTGGGACGGGGGCCTTGGGAGCAGAGGAGATGTGAAACCTGGCTCGTGTCTGGACAGGCGCACTTGCTGCTTGCTGGGGAGAGCCTCAAGTGCAGAGTAGAAACAGGGAGAGAAGTTAGATTCTCTGAACAAAAAATATTTAGGTTCTCTTTAAAAAGCTTTTTGGAGGCTGTTGCTGTGGTGTAGCAGGTAAAGGCATCCCCATCTGGATGCTGGTTCGAGTACTGGCTACTCTACTTTCAATCCAGTACTTTGTAAATGCTCTTGGGAAAGCAGTGGAGAATGATCCAGATCCTTGGGCACCTGCACCCATGTGGGAGACCTAGGAGAAGCTTCTGGCTCCTGGCTTTGGATCGGCTCAGCTCTGGCCGTTGCAGCCATTCAGGAAGTAAACCAGTGGATGGAAGATATAGCTTTGTAACTCTTCCTTTCAAGTAAATAAATAAAAATTGAAAAGTGACAAATAGTAATTATGTATATGGGGTAGGATGTGATATTTTAATTTATGTCTATGTTATAGAAAGATTGAATCAGGCTCATGCCTGGAGTCCCAGATAGGGAGGTTGAGGCTGGAGCCACAGCTGCCAGAGTCCGCAGCGGGTCGGTGGTTTGTCAGTTGCAGTTATCTAAGAAGAGGAGTCAAGTGCCTGGGCTCCCAGGGCTCAGAGGAAGGGGTGCGTGTGTGAGCTGGAGGCTGAGGGGAGATGGAGCAGCGGGGCGGGGGAAGCCACAGCAGGGGGATGAATGGTGGTCCCTGAGAGGCCCTCTCCTCAGGTTGGTCAGCTGGAGTCTGTCCGGCTCTAGCACAGACTTGGGGGGTGCAAGGTGGAGTTGTGGTGTCATTTCTTCCCCTACACTTTTCTACCTGTCTTTAAAATGTGTCCACTTAGGGGAAGCGTTTTAATCATGAACACCCAGGTGGTGTGAAGTACTGTGCGAAAGCCCCCAAAGAAGCCCTGAATATTTATTTATTATCAGAGTATCTTTTCTTTAAAGAGGAAGCTGGTAGCAACAGCTGGAGCAGGTCTACGTGTTATACCTGACTTTCTCTATGGAACCCGGGGTACCGTCGGGAGCCCTCCCTTCTCTCTGATCTGAGTAGACGAATGGACAAGTAGAGCAGTTGGAGTGGTTGAATAAAGGAAAAACTCTCATGGAATTTTCTCATTTTCTTTGTCACTAAATGTGTGCCACAGGTACAATTGAAGTTTTTGAGAATTTGTCTTTATTTGAAAGGCAGAGGTACCCCCGTCTGCTGGTTAGCTTCCCACATGCCAGCAGCAGTGAAGGCTGGACCAAGCTAATGCCAGCAGCCTGGAATTCCGTCCTCTGGGTCTCCCATATGGGAGGCAGGAGTCCAGCTACCTGGGCCAGTGCCTGCTGCCTCCCATGGTGTGCATTGGTAGGGAGCTGGGGCATAGCCAAGACCTAGGCACTCTGAGATGAGACTTTCCCAGTGGGACCTAACTACTGTGCCACATGCCCCAAGGAGGGTTTTTTGTTGTTGTTGTTTGTTTGTTTTTAAATTAATTTTATTTTTATTGGAAAGGCGAATTTTACAAAGAGAAAGATCTTCCATCCACTCATTTACTCCCCAAGTGGCCATAACAGCCGGAGCTGAGCCAATCCGAAGCCAGGAGCTTCTTCCAGGTCTCCCTTGTGGCTGTAGGGGTCCAAAGCCTTCAGCTGTCTTCTGCTGTTTTCCCAGGCCACCCACAGGAAGCTGGATCAGAAATGGAGCAGCTGAGACAAACCTGGCACCCATATGGGATGCCGGTGCTACGGGCGGGAAATTAATCTGCTCTCCTACACTGATGGCTCCTGTTTTATTTATTTGAAAAGTAGAGTTAGAGAGGGTGATACAGATACAGGTATTCCATGTGCTGTTTCACTCCCCAAATGGCCACAACATCCAGGACTGGGCCAAGCTGACGTCAGGAGCCAGGAGATTCTTCCAGATCTCCCACTTAAGTGAAGGGACCAGGCACTTGAGCCATCTTCCACTGCTTTCCCAGGAGTGTTTGCTTGGAGCTGGATCAGAAGTGGGGCAGCCAGGTCCATAGAAGATGCTGTAACCTGTTATGCCACAACACCAGCCCATTCCCCAACTTCAGGGAACTATGATGTTTTGGTGCATTACTTGTTGAAAGCATAAGATGCCAAAAGATACAAAAAGCTTGTTGTCATTTTTGTTTTAAACATATAGATGTGAAATGCATGGCTTGTCCAGCCATGTGCGTGAGATTTAGTTTTACGTCTTTTCATTGTGCTGTTGGCGTCATCCTCTTCGCAGCGCATGTTCTTGTCGCTGAATGTGCTGTTATTGAGAACTGAAAGGAAGTTGTTCCGTTTTCAGGGCCTTTTCATCAGTGGCATCGTTGGGGATCGGCTGAACTTGCGATGGGTTCTGTCTTTTGGCATGTGCTCCTCCGCGTTAGTGGTAAGTTTGCAAGGTCTCCCAGGTATTAGTATTTGGGGTCTTTTATGATCTGTTCTCTGTAGGATAGAATAGTGAAATGCATACTCTGTGTGCTAGTCCCTGGCATGCCTTCTCCTCTACGTGAGTCTTTTTGAAGCATGATTCCCTCCTTGGCCTCTTGGGCACCAACACAATCTAAAACAGCAGTGTGCTGAGCATGGCACTCAGTGCTCTGGGAGTCTGGGCCCAGCCTCCTTTCCCGTCTGGCTTATCTCCGCCTCTCCCCTCTGCTACTTTCCACTCCCCTAACTTATCCTGCTGCTTCCTGGCTTGTTGATTTGCTTCCTGCCTTGACTGGTCCTCTTTTCAGCTCCCTGGAACTTGAACTCATGGTCTGCTTCAGGTCCTTGGCCAGCTGGCTCCTCCTTCAGAAGGCCCGACTACCAGCCCTGCTCCTGGAAGTCCTCAGCTGTTCCCTCTGCTTGCTCCTCGGCCTGTGTTCCCTGGAAGCTCCTCGTGTTGTCTGCTTTAGCCCGGGTGCTTCTCTTTCAGGCTTGCCTTCCCCAGGAGTAGGTGGCATGATTTAGAATGGTAGATTTTCTGGCTGGAGCAGTCAGCGTTTCCACGCAGCTTCTGTAATTCCTTAGCTTCTGATTTCTTTGCGCTTCAGCTTCTTGCTTTGAAAAGCGGCTGTGATGTTACCTTCTCCTAGGCTTGTCGTGGGGCTCGGAGGCGTATCTGGGTGGCTTGCATTTGCAGCAGTGCCTGGCACCTTAATTGCTACGTAGGGCAAGATCCATGTCTGACTCATCCGTATTTGCCTACTAACTTCTAGTGAAGCTAATTTTTTTGATTGACTAAAACCACACAATTTACTCAGACTCCACTGTATTACTGTGTTTCACTGTCTGCCGTAGGATGAGGGAAGAACTTCTTCCCTTACAATTCTAGAGATGGAAGTGCTTCGTCCACAAGCTGCTCACCTATTTTTAAGCCTCCACAGGTTTTTTAGTTTTTTTTTTTTTAAAGATTTATTTATTTTTATTACAAAGTCAGATATACAGAGAGGAGGAGAGACAGAGAGGAAGATCTTCAGTCTGATGGCTCACTCCCCACGTGGCCACAGTTGCCAGAGCTGAACTGATGATCTGAAGCCAGGTGCCAGGAGCTTCTTCCAGCCTCCCACGTGGGTGCAGGTTCCCAAGGCTTTGGGCCATCCTCTACTGCCTTCCCAGGCCACAAGCAGGGAGCTGGATGGGAAGTAGGGCAGGCAGGACACGAACTGGTTCCCATATGGGATCCTGGCATGTGGAAGGTGAGGACTTTAACCACTAGGCTAATGCACTGAGTCCTGGATTTTTTTTTTTTTAAAGATTTACTTATTTTCATTGCAAAGTCAGATATACAGAGAGGAGGAGAGACAGAGAGGAAGATCTTCTGTCCGATGACTCACTCCCCAAGTGACCACAATGGCCGGTGCTGTGCTGATCTGAAGTCGTGAACCAGGAACCTCTTCTGGGTCTCCCATGTGGGTGCAGGGTCCCAAAGCTTTGGGCCATCCTCAACTGCTTTCCCAGGCCACAAGCAGGGAGCTGGATGGGAAGTGGGGCTGCCGGGATTAGAACTGGCACCCATATGGGAGCCCGGCGTGTTCAAGGCGAGGACTTTAGCGGTTAGGCCACCGTGCCGGGCCCTTGGATTTTTTTTTTTTACACCCATGCCAAGTATTCCTGAAACAGACGGACTTCCTGTGAAATGTCCACCTGCACAAAGTACCTGTGAAAACCATCTACTTGATGGAAGTTCCTCAAGGAGCAAGCGGGTCACTAGTCACATAGGAGAAGAGGGGCTGCCCGCATGCAGAGGGAGGAACTTGCCGGCTGTAGTCATAGCAGCTCTGCTCCCTGAGGACTCTGCCCCAGCTTGGTGCCACAGGGGCAGCCTGTACAGCCCTCTGGGGCTTTGCCATTCCCTCCAGATGTACAGGTGTGAGGAAGTGAAGTCTAGGCAAGGGGTGTAAAGTGAGTTGGCTTATGACTGATGAAGATGTAAGGAGGAGGGATGGTAACGCAGTGATTCCCGTGTGGCTGGTCAGTGGTGACCCTCGGTGCTGCGCCTGAGCTGTCACCACAGCGCCAAGGGTCGCTGGATTCTCCATGCCTCGTGGATGTGCAAGTCATCTGTGCCTCCCCCTCCCTTCTCCCTGAAGGTGTTTGTCTTTGGTGCACTCACGGAATGGCTGCATCTCTACAACAGATGGCTCTACTGCTGCCTGTGGATCGTGAACGGCCTGCTGCAGAGCACGGGGTGGCCCTGTGTGGTTGCTGTCATGGGCAACTGGTTTGGGAAAGCTGGGTACGCCACTTCCTTCCCTCTTGCATGCTCTGTTTAAGTGATTTTACTGTTGGATTATCTAGACTTCTTGCAAAGCCAGCTAATTTGGGGCTTTAGAGATTGCCATCATTTCTCTGTATTTTGGAATGACAGATTAAGTCAGGGAGAGTGGGTGTTCTGGTAGAGTCTATTGGTCAGGGTGTTGGCCTCAGGGACTGCTGAAGCCCGCTGAGCCACGGTAACACCCTGCTGGGCATCTGGGCATCCTCAGAGTTTACGTGTGGGCCAAGGCAGGTAGTGTTGGTGAAACTCATCCCTTTAGAGGGGACACAGACCTCATGCCCAGTCCTGCCTGAATCCTCCCCGGGTTTGCGCTCTCTCCCACCCCCTCTCTCCTCTTTATATGAGGCTCAGTGTCTAAAGGAAACTGAAGCCAAAAGTTATCTGTATGACTTAACCTCAGATTACATGACAGGGAGACTTCGTGTGTGTGGTTTGAGATGTGAGATGAATCTAGGATCTTACAAAATTATCTTTGATTTATAGGATGGGGAATTAGTTGAGATAACCAAGGACTGCTTTGTTGTTTGCCAGTGTCTGTGGCACTCTGAGTCCAGGAATATTATTGATTTGGAGTTGTATCAGTTTTCCTGCGTTAATTCTTGCATGTTGCCAGATGCATTTTTATCGCAGCTGAGACTTGATCTTTTCTTTGTGCGTGTGTGTTTGTTCGTTTGTGTAGGAGCCAGTGCAGGCTATGGGCGCTGTCCACCCACTGGGGCGTCCATCGCATGCTCCGGCTGCAGCTTCCCCACTTGCTGGGGCGGGGGAGAGGGAAGCAGGGGTTTCTATGCTCACTGATGATGCGTAGCGTCGTGAAATACCACCTGTAAGATGCCATGTGGTTCGGCGAGGTATCACTTAGTAAGAGCGCTCTGATTATGGTCCAGCCTGCTAGTTATTTCTAGTTTATTTGAACTCTAGCACTGATGTAACAGAATTGCTTTGTGAAAGACATTCCCCTGGGACATTGTAATGTTGTGTGAGAGCCTGCTGCTGCGCTGGTTCCCATTAAAGATTCTGAAGGAAAGATTTCCCCATTCATGGTTTTACGACAGGTTATACATGGGGTGCTTGTTTACTCTGAACACACCAGAAAGCAGGGATGAAGGAGGAGGGCAGACATTGGGCCCGGCATGCACCTGCCTCCCGTGTCGGAGTGCCTGAGTTCAGGTCCCAGCTGCAGCTGCTGACCTGTGGCTCTAGCTTCCTTCGGTCGCAGTAGTCAGGGCTTAAGTAACCGGGTTCCTGTCACTGTGGTATCCCTGGGTTGAGTTCCTGGTTCCTGGCTTTGGCTTGGATCCATTGTGGAAATGTGGTGAATGAACCAGTGAATGGGGGAGTCTCTTCTCTCAACAACAAAATGAACAAACAGAAATAAAGGTCAAACCAGATAAAAACCATTTAAAACCAGTGACTAATTTTGGCATGCATTTTTAGAGAACAAGTTGCTAAGCCCTCATGAATTATGAGTTAACGAGGACTTTGGCAGTAATGACTGAGCAGCGTGAACTCTTTGTTATTTCTGTGGATAAGTCACAAAGCAAAAAAAAAAAATAAATAATAATAAGCCATTGCAGTTTGTTTTTGAAAGGAAAGGAGTTTTTTTTTTCAAAGATTTATTCATTTTTATTGGAAAGTCAGATTTGTACAGAGTGAAGGAAAGATAGATATGCCATCTGCTGGTTCGCTCGCCAAGTAGCCGCAATGGCTGGAGCCCAGCCGATCTGAAGCCAGGAGCCAGGATCCTCCTCTGGGTTTCCTACGTGGGTACAGGGTCCCAGGAACTTGGGCCATCCTCCACTGCTTCTCCAGGCCACAAGCAGGGAGCTACATTGGAAGTGGAGCAGTTGGGATATGAACTGGCACCCGCATGGGATCTCTTTGTGCAAGGCAAGGACTTTAGCTACTAGGCTACCATGCCAGGCCCCCAAACAATTTGTTTTTAAACAAGTAACACTTATGGGTGAAATCTGTAGTGCTTCCTTATACACTGTACTTCCACAGAGCAAAAGCTCCAAGGTCTACCCGGAACTCCCCCAGCTTAAGTTCTGAACTTATTTTGTGTTTTATGGCATTGAGCAACTTAGAACCGAGAGGGACTTAGAGACTTGGGTCATTTGTTTTCCACATGGAAAAATTAAGCAATCTCCCATGAACATTGTCCCTAAATGGCTGTTACTTTGGATGAGTAATGAGTGATGTTTTTGCTCATGTTTGGCAGGGTTTTGATGTTTTGTCTGGTTTTAAATTTTTATTTACTTATGTATTTGAGAAGCAGAGAGAAGGAGAAACAGAGCTTCCATCTGCTGATTCGCTCCCTGAATGCCAGTAGACACCAAGGCTGCCCTAGGGCCAACGCCACTCAGGTGTCCCATGGAGGTGGCAGGGACTCAATGACTTGAGGCGTCACCGCTGTGTCGCGCAGTCTGCATTGCCAGATCGCAAACCTAGGCACTTTGATTAGTCAGTCTTCCAGCCGCTAGACTAAGCACCCGTCCCCGAGGGGTGTTTTTTAAAACAAAGTTTGACAATGAATACTTGCATTTCTGTGACATCAGGCACTTGATTCTGTCTTACTCCCTGCCTTATTCTTTGAAGAGCACACCCATTTTACCTTGTCACTTGTGTGTGATTACACAGCTGGAAGTGACACAGGACAGGTTGTCAAGTAGATGTCAGTTTTTAGTGACTTAAGTCAGCGTTTCCCTGTTGACTTCTAATCTTTCTGTGTCAATGAGGTTAGAAAAATGTTGGAAGAATTGAGAACCGTAGACTTAGCGCAGCATATTATTACGTGTATGACATTGAATAAAATGTAAATGTAAATCTTAAAAAAGGTTAAGCTTTGGGAGCCGTATTCCTTTCACCAGGCCTGTTGCCCTTGCCTGTATGATAGTTAAGCAGCCCTCTGAACGGCTGCGCTGGTCAGGGTCCTTCACGAGGCTCGTCCTCTGTCCATCCAGTGTTCAGCAGGACTGTATCAGCGTATTACATCTAATTAAAAACGTGCTGCTCTGTGAGTCTCGGCTTGTGTGTCCTGTAAAAGCATCATTACAGTCACATACGCGTCACATCCAGGACTCCCCAAGAGTCCCAGGACTCCCCAAGAGTCTCTTTATATCCTGGTTGACTTCTCCACTGCCTGCTCTCTGTCACATTAATTTGGATTTTAAACGTTTTATTTAAATGAACTCATAAAATATGTGTTTTTTTGTCGATTTTAAAAATTTTATTTTACTGATTTTTATCAAGTGAGCCAGTCTCACCATAGAGATCTGGGTGCATGGTGGTTCCCTCCCCACTCAACCCTCCCTCCTGCCATGTGCCCCATCTGCTGACTCTCTTGCTTATTTTTTTCTTGCCTGATTTTTTTTTTTTTAACAAAAGCTTGTACAATGACATACTTTCAGTTCACTTTATAAACAGATTCATCACTCCATTAGGTCAAGAATGCAAGATAGCAACTAGGAGGAAAAAAAAAAACCCTACTATTCCTCAAGAGTCTAGGCAGAGGTTGTAAATAATAATCAGGTCTCAGAATGTCAATCTTGTGCTTATAGATTGCATTCGTTTGTACTCTGTGTGCTGGTAAAGATTTATTTGACAGGCAGAGTTCCATAGACATGAGAGAGTGGGAGGGAGGGAGGGTCTCCTGGGCGCAGGGACTGCACGCCACTGCTTTCACAGGCTCATTGTTAACAGGGAGCTGGGTGGCAAGTGGAGCAGCTGGGACTTGAACTGGAGCTCATGTGCAGGTTAACCTGCGTGCCATAACGCCAGACCCTGTCTGTCACCTTTGATTCAGTGTAGACTCCTGCGTAGTGTGTGTTGCTAAGGCATTGCTCTTGGTAGCGGACACGTGCATCCCAAGCGGTGGTTTATCTGTTCACCTGTTGGTGAGCATTTGGGTAGTTTTCAATTTCTGTCTACTACACATAAAGCTACTATGAACACGTATGTACAAATTCATATATAGACATGTACATTCATTTCTCTTGGATAAACAACTCGTTTGCCTGGTTGTAGGGTATATGTTTACTATTTAAAATTTTTTTTTTTAATTTTTATTGGAAAGGTGGATATACAGAGAAGAGGGGAGATAGAGAGGAAGATCTTCTGTCCGATGGCTTACTCCCCATGTGGCCGCAACGGCTGGAGCTGTGCCGTTCTGAACCAGTGCCCATATGGGATCAAGGCAAGGACTTTAGCTGCTGGGCTATCGCACTGGGTTCCACATTTAGCTTTTTATGAAATTAACAGTTTCTTCCAGAGTGGTTACACCATTTTCCAGTGCCACCAGCAGAATGTAGAGTTCTGTGTGCTCTATATCTTTGCCAGCGCTGGAGTCAGAAGCAGAGCTGGGGCCCAAGTCCAGGTGCTTGGTGTGAGAAAGGGTGCGTGTGTCCTGAATAGCATCTTAGTCTTGGCAGGATGCCTACACAGTCATCTTTGTGCGTGTGAGCGTGTTTATGCGTGTGTGTGTGTTTTAAGAAATTGATTTCTTAGTTTGAAAATGGAGTAATAGAGTTACTGGGAAATTTACCCACTATGCCACAACGCCAGTCCCTTTGTTTTTTCATAAGATTTTGTGTGGGTAGGGTAAGGTATCGTAAAATCTTGCTGCCTTTTCAGAATGTTGATTTTGAGATGATTGTAGGGTCTTGCTCTTAAACTTATACTTTCCCTATCTTGTTGTAATGTTTATTTTCATGTATTTGAGAGAGAGAGCGAGAGAGAGCTAGGGCTTGAGAATGCCTCCACCTGCTGTTCGTCCCCCAGCAGCCAGGGCTGGCCCAGGCTGAAGGCAGGAGCCTGGACTGCCACGTGGCCTGCGGGAAGCCAAGGGCTCGGACCATCTTCAGCTGTTTCCCCAGACGCACAGCAGGAGTCGGGATCGAAAGCGGAATCGCTGGGTCTCAGAAATGTGATATGGGGAGTCCAAGCTATGGTTTAATGTGCTGTGCTACAATGCCTGTCCTGTTTTCTTTAAAGATTTACTATTTTTATTGCAAAGTCAGAGTATATTTAGGTAGGATGTTAATCTTTTTAACGAGGACTTTTGCTGTTTTAGCCGTTGTCTGTTTTGCAGAGCGCCCCTTCTGATTCTGTTGTCCTTCTCCATCCTAGACGAGGGGTTGTTTTTGGTCTCTGGAGTGCATGTGCATCAGTGGGCAATATTTTGGGAGCATTCCTCGCTTCTTCTGTGCTGCAGTATGGCTATGAGGTAGGTATTCTTTTCCAGCTTTCCTGTGTTTGTGTTAACTAACATGTGAAGCCAGCTGTAACCATGTCTACGAAGGGCAAATCCTGTCTTGAAAGTAGACAGGTTCAACCACCTAAAAGTTCCATAGCCAAACACTGGAGAGAACCTGAAGACATGTCAGAGTTGGGAAAAAAAATATTGGCAACCCTGTTACAGATGAAGAGTTCATAATATAAGGAACACTCACAAATTGCTAAGAGGAAGACCAACACTGCACACAAAGAAAGATCAAGAATTTGAATGCTTCATGGAAAGGAAGTAGAAATGGTTGCGAAAATATAGGAAGATACTCAGCTCTTTTCAAAAGTTTATTTGCGGGCCCGGCGCGGTGGCGCAAGTGGTTAAGTCCTCGCCTTGCACGCCCGGGATCCCATATGGGCGCCGGTTCTAATCCCGGCAGCCCCGCTTCCCTTCCAGCTCCCTGCCTGTGGCCTGGGAAGGCAGTTGAGGACGGCCCAAAGCTTTGGGACCCTGCACCCGCGTGGGAGACCCGGAAGAGGCTCCTGGCTTCGGATCGGCATAGTATCGACCCGTTGCGGCTCACTTGGGGAGTGAATCATCGGATGGAAGATCTTCCTCTCTGTATCTCCTCTCTGTATATCCGCCTTTCCAATAAAAAAATAATAAAAATAAATCTTTTAAAAAAAAAAAAAAAAAGTTTATTTGCTTATTCAGTGATTGCTGTAGTCCCTGTATGTGCCCCAGGAGAATATATCACTGACCTAAACAGATGAAAATGTCCTTCTGAAGTGTCAGCAAGTACAAATTAAAGCTACCCTGTAAAGAACAACAGAAATATGAAAGTTGGTGAGCATGTTGTGTTGTGAGCGTGTGAGGAGAGAGGCATTTTGCACAGCCCCTCCCGGGGTCTCACCCTGTGGTGGAGGCTGTGCAGTGAGCTCTGCTGTGGCTGAGTGCTTCCAGCACGGGGAGTTAATCACCCGGTGATTGGGCTTGAGCATGCACACAGCGACGTGTCTGGCAAGGCTTATCATTTCAGCACTGTTTGTAGTAGCCAGGACTGGGGCACTAATGAAGGAAGCAAGGGTGCAAAATTGTGGGTATTGGATAATGTCTTCTGCGTGAAGAAGAATGAACATGTACCTATTTCTATTGTGTGATTCCGAATCAGTCTCTGAGTAGTGCTTAGGTGCTGGGCAGTTGGGAGAACCGAGTGGAGGTGGAGGGACGAGAGGAAGAGTTTTTAGTGTACAGGTTACTGCTTTTTGCTTAAATCATGTGACTATTGCTTACTCAAGACCTAAATTATCACAAGTAACTTACCCTTTTAAGTAGAAATGTGCTTATGTGACTCCCTGGTCTGGGTAAGGTGCACGCGGCAGCTGACGTCTTCATGATCCCCTCCAAGCCTGGGAGAAGCGTAGTGAGAAGTGACTTTGCACCGTGCCTGGGGCGCCTTCAGCGGTCTCCCCTCCCGCCCGGCCCTCCCCACCCCTGCAGCTCTCCTGAATGAGTCTGTGATGACTTCTTTCCCTCTCTCCTGCAGTATGCCTTTCTGGTGACAGCGTCTGTGCAGTTTGCTGGTGGAGTCGTCATCTTCTTTGGGCTCTTGGTGTCACCGGCAGAAATCGGTGAGGAGAAGCTCGCTCTCTTGTTCCCTGTGTCGTAATGTTTCGGGTGAAGGGAGGTCTGAGGCTAGGAAACCAGACCGCTTCTTTCCTGGGAAAGCCGTGAGCTGCTTCCGAGTGAATCGAATCCATGGAGCATCGTTACCGTTGCTGTCCTGGTGACGTGGCAGGCAACCCCGGCGCAGCTGCAGGTGGCTGAGGGCAGTCGTGCGCTCCTTTGTATGGTACAGGGAGAACTTTAGCATTTGCAAGTAGTTTCTGATGATTGAGACGTTGGCAAGGAATCAGCATGGATGTGTTTGATGTGTTTCCTGTTTCACGTCTTTGGACACGTTTTTTCTGATTCCTAAAAATGATTAGTTGACACGCCTGTGGTTAAATAAAGAATGTGTGCAGGTTAAATTATAGAAGTAAAGACGCGTACATTCCCTCTGCCTTTGAGGGCAGCCGGCCCTGCATGTCTGGTTTCCATACCTATGCATTTTGCCTCTACAGTTAATTAGCTGCAGGTGAAAAAATACTGAAAAAAAAAAAAATTGGAGCAGTACTGAACATACACAGACTTATTATTCCCAGAAAAGGCAGTGATGTTGGGTACTGTAAGTAATCTCGATGTGATTGAAATGCGTGGGTTGTATGCAGTACTGCAGTGTTTCATGTAAGGGGGCGGGGCATCTTGAGTTTTGGTATTCTACGAAGGTCCTGAGAATGGCTGCCCATGGATATTGAAGAACAGCTGCCTTTGAACAGCCTGTGTGACCACAGCTGAACCCAGCTGAGCCTGAGTTGCCTCTCTGTAAAACAGAAGTCAGTAGCATTAAATGTAAGACTCAGCCCAATGCCAGGCACGAAGCGTGTTTGCCCTAAGTGGTTGCTCTCTCTTGCTCTAGGTCTCCCAGATGTTGAGGCCGAAAAGAATCTTGAAGAAGACTCACATAGGCCGTTAATGAATGGTGCTGAAAATGAAGATGAATACGATCCCAACTATTCCATCCAAGAAGGCCCCGCTGCTCCCCAAGTGAAGGCGATCAGCTTTTGTCAGGCTTGTTGTCTTCCTGGAGTCATACCGGTGAGGACTGTCGGCTCTCCTGGTACCGTGCCGCGCTTAGAGATGCTTCAGCCCTTGATGTTTCGTCTGCCTGAGATAAAGCTCCTTTAAGTGTTGAGCTTCTCTCTGATGCTTTATTTTAGGAGTCTGCTCAGAGGAGAGTGGTACACCATCCCTCAGTTGATCTGCTGTGTAATACAGGGCTGGCAGACTTCCATGAAGAGCCCGAGAAAGTGTTATTTTTGGCTTTTGGGAACTGTACAGTCTTGCATCTGACTTTTGCCCAATTTTTTTAGAGCACAGGAAGCCACTGACAATACGTGATAGATGAGCATGGCTGAGTTGGACCCAGGCTGACTGATGTGGAGCTAAGAAGGCACTGGTTTTTTTGTTTTTTGTGTTTGTTTTTTAACTTGAAAGAGAGAGGGAAAAGGACCATTCTCATCTCCTGGTCCATTGCTAGGGCTAGACCAGACTGAAGCCAGCACCCAGGAACTCAATTCCATGTGAATTTTAGGAACCCAGTTCCCTGAGCCATCACCTGCTGCCCGCCAGGGGTAGGTGGGCATTATCAGGAAGCTGGAATTAGGAACAGAGCTGGGACTTGAAGAGTGTTCCAAGTACAAGTTAGCCACTATGCCAAATGCCTGCCCCCTAGTATTATTAAATGTATATATGTATACATATATATCCTTTGGCTTATTGAATCATTACAGAATTGAGTATGGACAAAGAAAGGTTTTGAGTGGTTCATTGAGTCTGTCTTATGTGGCTACATTGTGATTATTCTGGACAAAAAAATTTCATTTGCCCGCTCCCCCACCCCCTTTTTTTCTTTAAAAAGCTCTAGAACAGAATACTCCAGTGTGTTCTTGATAATGCATTCCAGTGTTTCCACACCCTTTGCAGCCAGAAAAACTTTCTGATGTCTGAATCCTTCTGCTGCAGTTTTTCTGTCTTGATGTTCCGAGCGCTCCAGCACTGGAGTGGAGGTTAAGAGGCCTAGGTTATGTGTCCAGCTTACCCACTAGCTTTCTGGGAGGCCTGGGATAAGTCACCCGACCCCTGCTGTGTCTCGGTCCTCTCTCCCAAGGAACAGAAGTGACCCCAGTCTTCCCTGAGGTTTATAACACTGGGTTGTTGTGTCAAGAACAAAAGCACCTATTTTTTTTTTCCCCTCTTCACTTTTAATGATTCATCTTGAATGCAGCTGGCCAGGTAGGCTCCAAGCATGCAGGCCACCTTATTTCACATTTAGCTGTGCCCTTCTGCCTGCATCCCTGAGCTAAGAGAACTAACATTTTGAGCAGGTATTTAAGTGTGAGTTTAGATATATGTGCTTCCAAAAATTCATAGAAGACACATGTTATAAAACAAGTTTGTATGAGTTTTGAATTTTTTGTGTGTGTGCCAACATCTTTTAATTCCATGTCTCACGAACTTTTTGAGGCGTCTCTTAAGTGCCCTTTTCCCACTGTTCTTTAATTCAAAGATGCTGTGCAGTATAAAGGAGATGCAGGCCCCTCAAGGCCCGTCCTTGTGCTAATGATTAGCACCGTCTGACTGGTTATTAATACATTCTGCTGGCAGCGGTTTCATTTTCAAGAGACAACTTTAGATTTGTCGTGACTAAATGTGGAACTCTTTTTGCTGTTCCTTTGTGTTTCATGAGCTATTGTTCTCTGCCATGGCAGGGATATGAAGGAAATGTGCTGACTTGATTCCTTTGTCTGCGTAGCAGCCTGTCGGGACAAACTGCAGTGGCCATTGGGACTTGCCTTGTCTGAGGGATGGCCGTCACCCTGCCAGGGAAGCTGTTTTAAAACAAGTGATGCCCAGGGAATCAGTGGTAGCTCCAGGGAAAAACGAATACTAGCCAGACACCTTTTGAAGTCTGCCCCTCTGCGCCTCCCTCCTTTTTCCTTTGATGCTGTCAGGATTTCCTGGTAATAACGGGTTGATTGTTGGAGTCTTGGCCTCACCCCATCTTGAGGCAGCTGTAACTTTTCCCTCTCTCTAAAGACAGAAAACAGGTGGGTGACAGCCGTGTTCCTTTCTGTGTGACTCGTCAGATATGTTCCCTTGTTTTCTGTTGGATGTGGGAGTGGATTGGGCTTTGGGTAATTCCAGTGTGAAAATTTTTACACTTTTTCACACTGAGGCTTTTTTCTTAGACCCTGACAATGTAGTTGAGTCACCTTCATCTCCAACTTTCTCAGTGTTAACTAACAGGAAATAGGACACCCGGCAGCCCTCTCGCAGTACCAACTGTGACGTTTGCTAGATCTGTTTGCCTATGGCTCGTGAGAGTTTGGCTTATCATTCCATGAATATAATTTATCTTCAGGTCAAGAAATCTGAGTCTGTGACCCGCCTTCTAGGTCCCGGCCTCTGGTTTGCTTCTCTGGGAGAACTTCTCGGAGCACTAGCTAGGGGAGGTTAAGGAATAGACGTGTGTAGTTTTGACCTCAAAGCCTGATGTACAGAAGCAGCCACTAGGGATAAAGAGAAGAGGTAGAGTAGGGGAAGTCAGCCAAATGGGAATTTATAGAGATGTTTCCTGATATGGTCAGGTGCTGTGCATCCCAAACTCCATGTTGTTGAAAGTTGAGGTCATGCTATGCTATGTGTCTCACTGACATTTGAGTGTTTTTCTTGTAGTACTCTCTGGCCTATGCCTGCCTCAAGTTGGTGAATTACTCCTTCTTCTTCTGGTTGCCCTTTTATCTGAGTAACAACTTCGGCTGGAAGGAGGCTGAGGCTGACAAGCTGTCCATCTGGTACGACGTCGGAGGGATCGTAGGTACGTCAGGGAGGCGCCCCTTTCCACGGGAGAGAGTTGGTCGCTGAGTCTTGCAAAGTGTGGCTTCATTTAAAGTGTGCGATTATTTTTCCTAAATTACCCTACCAGTAAATAGGCAAACTCTTGCGAGGGGGAAGAAAGGAAGGAAGGAGGAGACAAAAAGAGAAAAAGAAAAAGTAAAAGGTGTTTAGGCACAGAAAGGAAGACCAGCTAAGGCAGGCCCTCGGTTTGCAGAGGTCGCTGGGCGTCGTTGGTGGGTTGCTTCTTTTGTCTCTGGGAGCACAAGGGCATCACCTGACGTGGCCTTCTCGTGCGCTTTCCATGATGCCTTCCTCCAAAGTTAGCTGTGTGTCGGAGATCTGAGTTCAAAGGCACATGTGTTCCTTGTGTCTGCTTCCCACCTTCCCCGCCCGCCCCCCAGCCGAATAAGCAAAGGCCGCTCCGGGTGTCGCTCCAGAGACCACAGCGCTGGGAATAACAGCTGCGGTCGATTTTTGTGAGGGTTTTGCAGTGGCTACATTTCTAAACCACGGATTTTAATAGTGATTGTGTGCTGTAGCCAGAAAGATGAACGGAGAAGTAAGACACTTGTAAGTAAGATGCACACACAGCATGTGCTGTAAGTAGCTATAGCAGAACCTACCGCCTGCCTGTGATATTTATGTGTGGAGTTGTGTAAGACTGGAGCTGTGCCCCGAGCAGCACACGAGGGCTCGTGGTGCAGCCTTTGATGTGCCGTGAGTGGGTTTGAACGTGGCTGCCCTTGTTCTTTAGCATGCTTGCTGAGTTTCGAGCTGCCTGGGTGCTGGGCTGTCAGGACGGTGTGTCACAGCTGTCACTGTATCCAGCGAGACAGTGGTGCTTGTAGAAATCATGTCACCTCTTTGTAGCAGTCTGGCCAGCTTATCAGCTGCGTCACATGTAACTTCTGCGTCGATTCTGAGTGAATATTTCTTGGCCACTATCAGTAGCCTATGAGACACAGTCCTTAGTTAATCATCATTTAAGTTCAAAAGCAAAAAAAATCAAGATAAGCATTTATCACTTGTTTTCAGAGGGGAAGCAGGGATAATAGATTTTTTTTAAAAAAAGTATTTAGGTCTCAGCGTGATAGCCTAGTGGTAAAGTCCTCGCCTTGCATGTGCTGGGATCCCACATGGGCGCTGGTTCATGTCCTGGCTGCTCCAGTTCCCTTCCAGCTCCCTGCAGTGGAGGACAGCTCCTTCTCTCTGTGGATCTGATTTTCCGATAAAAATAAATGAATCTTTAAAACAACTTTTATTTTTATTTAAACGGTAGATTTTGCAAAGAAAGGAGAGATAGAGCAGGTCTTCCATTTGCTAGTTTACTCACCAAATGGCCACAAAGACGAGAGCTGAATTGACCTGAAGCCAGAAGCCAGGAGCTTCATACAGGTCTCCCACAAGTGTAACATCCCAAGGCTTTGGGCCATTCTCCACTGCTTTCCAGGCCACAAGCAGGGAGCTGGATGGGAAGTAGAGCAGCGGGTGATAAGAACTGGCACCCATATGGGGTCCCAGCACGTGTAAGGTGAGGACTTTAGCCACGAGGCTACTGCTCTGGGCCCTGGTCAACCTTTTTTGAAAAGGGGAGGGCATGTGGAGGGTATTGCTCAGGTAACTGGACTAAATTTGAGAGGAAATGGCTGAGATTGTGACATGCTGTTTGTGTCTGAAGGTGGCACTCTGCAAGGATTTGTCTCTGATGTGCTCGAGAAGAGAGCTCCCGTTTTAGCTCTGAGTCTGCTTCTGGCCATCGGGTCCCTCGTTGGGTATAGCCGTGAGTATCCCTTTGTTTTCCTGAGCTCTTGGGAGGAAGACATTTGTCTAGCTTGGGAGCAGCCCAGGGAGTGCCTTGAGTTGAGCTGCAAGGCTGCCGTGCCACCCTTGCCTTGTCCTGTGAATGCCTGGGAAAAGCGTCATCACAGCGTTTTATTTGTGTGGGGAGGAAATTGGCATCTCGAGCACTTTGGTGGTTTGTTTAAAAGCTTGCTTGGGAGTGTGTATGCTTTGTCTGAGGAGGGTTGGCTCCAGAGGGACAGCATTATAGCCAATAAAACAATAAAAGGGGAAGCGATTTCAGAAGCGGAAAGATGGTCATTAGCTGGTTTGGTAGATGTCCCTCAAGATGGCTGTGGCCACAGGGAGGGTTGGAAGCAGCAGGGAGGGCTGTTGGCTCTGTCGTCTCAGTGATGTGAGTGGCCCTTGTGTGGCGGTTGCTGGAGGCACCACCTGAAACCATTTCCAGTCCCCATGCCATGTCTGTGTTTTCTCGCAGGTTCCCCGAACAATAAGTCCATTAATGCACTGCTCATGACTGTCACAGGTACGGCAAGTGTCTCTCTGCCCCCCCCTGCAGATTCACAGGAAGAAGGAACACCTTCCCCGCCCTTGGTTAACTGCAGAGCCCACCTCCTCCCCACTCCCTCTCCCAGATTCCACCTGCCTGCGCTTGTGGTCCTGCTCACCCCTGCTGTGCCCAGAAGCAGCCCCTGGGCTCAGAGATTTCCTGAGATTGCTGGTGGCTGCCCCGGCTTCTTCTTGTTTTTTTTAAATTAGAAAGTCAGAGAGAAGGAAAGCCAGAGAGGAAGATTTTCCGTCTGCAGATTCACTCCCCAAGTGGCTACATCGGCCAGAACTGAGCCTGTCTGAAGCCAGGAACTTCTCCCGGGTTTCCCTTGCGGGTGCAAGGTCCCAGGCTTTGAACTGTGCTCCACTGCTTTTCCAGGCCACAGGCAGGGAGCTGGAAGGGAAATGGGGCTACTGGGACACAAACAGGCACCCATATTGGATCCTGATGTGTACAAGGCAAGGACTTTAACCACTAGGCTACCACGCTGGGTCCTCCTTTGTTACATTTGAACGTGGCTAAGGGGTCACCCGAGGAGCCTGTTAAGCAGCTTTCACAATATGCAGTGTGCCCCGTTTCTCTCCCCTGAGTTGGCACTGGTCTGTATTTCTTTACTGAAGCACTACACGAAGTAACTGGCTGTGGTTAGGTACCATGTGGCAGGAAAATTACGTTTTTGGAGCTGATGTGATAGCTCAATTGGCTAATCCTCCACCTTCAAGTGTTGGCATCCCCATATTGGTGCTGGTTCATGGTTTGGCTGCTCCACTTCCCATCCTGCTTGTGGGCTGGGAAGGCAGCAGAGGTGACCCAAGTCTTTGGGCCCCTGCACCCATATAGGAGATCTGGAAGAAACTCCTGCCTTCTGGCTTCAGATCAGCTCAGCTCTAGCTCTTACGGCCATTTGAGAATTGAACCAGCAGATGGAAAACCTTTTATTCTCTGACTTTTCTTTCTATAGGAAAAGAAAAAAGTCTGCCTCTCTAATCAAGATAAATAAATTTTTAAAACATATATTTTTAAATTTTTTTTTTCATGTTAGTATCTTAAAAAAAAAGATTTGTTTGTTTGAAAGGCAGAATGATGAAAAAAGGGAGAGAAAGAGAAAGAACGAGACACTCTGCTCACTGGTGTCTTGCCTACACGCCCACAACAGCTGGGCCTGGAGCAGAGCCCAGGCAGGAGCCCGGGACCACATCTGGGTCTCCATGGGGCAGCATAGACCCCCAGGCTTCTTTCCATGCACATCAGCAGGGATCTGGATGGGAAGCAGGGTAGCCTCACCTCGAGCTGGTATGGGTGGCGGGCATTCCAGACTACAGCTTTCCCCACTGTCCCAGCAGCCGGCCCCAGCTCCTCCACTCTGAGCTCTGTCTCCTGGCCAGGAGCGGGAGCTACCCGTGCTGCAGTAGTCTCAGGGTTCTATGGCAGCCATGTGACCAGGCTCGTGGATGCCAGGCTGTGCTTGGTGCCAAGGTGGCCTCCCCAAAGGCACTGGCAGAATCACCTGTCCCACTGAAGAGCTCTTACCTCTTTCCCTTTGTTTTAGTATGGTTAAGTTTGTGTAGCCAGATGCTTTTATAATGCAACTCTGTGTGATGGAATCTGACAAACTAGTACAATTATTAATGCAAATGCCATCAGATCAGAAAGGCTGTTTCACTCTAAATATTGCATTTTTGAGTCTGATAAAGCCTCAAGTATCGCATAATTAAAGAAGGGTTTTCAGAAAAGTGGATGCTAACTAGTCTAAAGATGGATGCTAAAAGTGGATGCTAACTTGTCTAAACCCTATCTAGAAGGGTTTTTATTCCCTCCCACCCCCAACCCCATTTGTCTCTCTAACATAGTAATTCAGCTATTGGGACACTGTCTTCCTTTGTCCAGAAGCGTGTCGGTGTTGCTGTGGCTCACATTGCAATAAGAGCTTGTTCTTGTGACTTCAGGATTTTTCATTGGTGGACCTTCCAATATGATTAGCTCTGCTATTTCTGCGGACCTGGGTCGCCAGGAGCTGATCCAGGGGAGCAGTGAGGCTTTAGCGACCGTCACGGGCATCGTCGATGGCACGGGGAGCATCGGAGCTGCGGTGGGCCAGGTGAGAGAGCCGCGGGGCTGGGAGGGTGCAGGCCTGCTCAGCCGCGGTAGGTGGCACCCTTGGGCTATAGAACACAGCACTGAAAGCCTGGGTTTCATTTCCGAGGTTCAGCTGACGTGACCTAATATGGAAGGTCCCGTTACCTCTTTCAGTTCCACCTTTCCACTTACAGATTCTTCCTGTTTGCAGACAAGCCAAGACATCCCAAGAGAGAGTCTTCTCTTGTGGCCCACCAACCCTCTTCTTCCTCATCTCAAAGTGGCTATCTGAGGGGCGTGAGTGGCACATGCCTCTCATTAGACCCGCCTGCCGTGCAAGCCCAGCTCTTTCCTCTGCCAGGCACGCATGTCTAGACCTGCCGTTTTACATGCCACCAGGCATGGCTGTGGCTGCTGCAGCTGCCCTGAGTCACTTTCTAATTTTCCCCTGCTGTCACTCCCGGTTTCGTTCCTAAGTGTCTGGCATAATCACCAGAACCTGGCAGCCCTGGCTGGCTGTAGACGTGTGGAGTTAGAGCCCCAGTGTCTGTGCTTTCAGCAAGCTGTCCATGATAGTTCTTAAGCACTCCAACTTGTACTTTGAGATTGTCTCAATCAAGACTGCCTGCCTTTTCTACATAGTCAGAGCTTTTCGGATTGGGCCTTTTAAAATTTGTTTCAACTCAAGACTTCTCTAAGATGGCTGGTCACAGCTGTGGGGCAGTCCTGGGTCCTGCTTCTTTGAGGAGGTACCACTCCGGGTTGTGGAGTGTCAGAGAATTGACTTCATGGTGGAACTAGTTGGACTTAGACTAGTAGATGAGCTGTTTAATAGATGAGAGAGTTTAGGCAGAGCCTCAGGAGTGCCTCTTCGGGGGCTGGGTGGGCAGGGGCATCCTGGAGGAGCAGGAAGAAGGTGCAAGCAGAGTGACATGGTCAGGGAATAACATCAGGGAAGGTGTGAAGCAGCTGGGCACAGAACCTGCACCCACATGGATGCCAGCGTTGCAAGACAAAGGACTAGCCTATTGAGCTACTGTGCCAGCCCAGCCCCATGATGGATTTTTCTAAAGGATCATTTGTTTGAAAGGTAGAGTTACAGACAGATCTTCCATCTGATGATTCACTCCCCACACGGTTGCAATGGCCAGGGCTGAGCCAGTTCCAAGCTAAGAGCCTGGAGCTTCTTCCGGCTCTCCTGTGTGAGTACAATGCCCAAGCACAGGCTCATTCTCTGCTGCTTTCTCAGGTGCATTGGTAGGGAACTGGATTGCAAGTGGAGCAGCTGAGACTTGAATTCGTGTTTATATGGGATGCTGGCACTGCAGGTGGTGGTTAACTCACTCTGCCAAAGCATGTGCCTTTTATAAATGCATTTTAAAAATAATTTGTTTGAAAGGCAGCGTGATGGTGAGAAAAAGAGCTTTGATCCCACTGGCTCATTCTCCAGATGCCTGCAACAGCTGGGGTGGGGTCAGGCCAAAGCCTGTAGCCCGAGTCTCTGTCTGTGTCTCCCACATGTGTGGCCCAAGTATTTGGACCAACTTTCACTGCTTTCCTAAGTCACATTAGTGGGAGCTGGCATAAAGTGGGGCAACTGGGACTCCAGCCAGCACGCCGATATGGGATGCTGGAGTCGCAGGTCACAGCTTAACCAGCTGTGTCACCGTGCTGGGCCCGGGTGAGTTTTTCAAAACAGCTAGAAAATGGAAACAATCCGCTCCCATCAGCTGGTGGGTGAATAACAAGGTTGTCTGTCCATACTACGGAGTATTGCTCAACAATGAAAAAGGAATGAGGATTGGTTGGTATTATATCATGGGTGAACCTCAACAATATGCAGGTGAAAGAAGCCAACCACAACAGAGCACATTGTTTATGTTCCATTCCTGTGAGATGTCGAGCAGAGACAAATATGTCAGCAAAGAAACTGGACTAGTAGGTGTGTGGGGCTGGCCAGAGCTTGTGGGTACCAGGTTTCTTTCAGGGGCGATGATAATGTTGTAAAACTAGAGTATGACGGTGGTTGCCTCAGCGCTGTAGATATGCTACAAGCCTTTGCTTTGTATGTGTATTTTTTTTTTTTTTAAAGATTTATTTTTATTATTTTTCATTGGAAAGGCGGATATACAGAGAGGAGAGACAGAGAGGAAGATCTTCCATCCGATGATTCACTCCCCAAGTGAGCGCAACGGGCCGATACTATGCCGATCCGAAGCCAGGAGCCTCTTCCGGGTCTCCCACGCGGGTGCAGGGTCCCAAAGCTTTGGGCCGTCCTCGACTGCCTTCCCGGGCCACAGGCAGGGAGCTGGAAGGGAAGCGGGGCTGCCGGGATTAGAACCGGCGCCCATATGGGATCCCGGGCGTGCAAGGCGAGGACTTAACCACTTGCGCCACCGCGCCGGGCCCTGTATGTGTATTTTTGAGTGAATTTTATTTTGTGCAAATTGTCAGTAAAGCTGCTTAAGGAAAGATAAAGTTGTGGTCTGAGTTCAAAGACCACTGAAATTATTTTTTTTTTCCTACAAGATTTATTTATTTATATTGGAAAGGCAAATCAGATTTACAGAGGAGAGAGAGTGACAAGAGAGTGACAGAGAGAGAATCTTCCATCTTCTGGTTCACTCCCCAAATGACTGTAATAACTAGAGCTGAACTGATGCAAAGCCAGGAGCTGGGAATATCTTCTGGATCTCCCAAGCAGGTACAGGGTCCCAAGGCTTTGGGCTGTCTTCTGCAATATCTTTTTTAAAGATTTACTTATTTTTTATTGCAAAGTCAAGACATATATATATATAGGAGAGACAGAGAGGAAGATCTTACATCCTGTGGTTCACTCCCCAAGTGACTGCAACAGCCTGAGCTGAGCTGATCTGAGGCCAGGAGCCAGGAGCTCTTCTGGGTCTTCCATGCAGGTGCGGCGTCCCAAGGCTATTCGGTCATCCTTGACTGCTTTCCCAGGCCACAGGCAGGGAGCTGGGTGGGAAGTAGGGCCACTAGGATTAGAACCAGCACCCACATGGGGTCCCAGTGCGTTCAAGGCGAGAACTTTAGCTGCTAGGCCTCTGTGCTGGGCCCACATGGGTATACCTTGAAATCATCATGTGAAGGGAAGCCAGCTACGCACGAAAGGACATTTACTGTATGGTTCCACTCACATCAACCTGTCACAAAAGGACAGATATGTTTCATTGATATGGGACTATCAGTGTATGTTTCGTTGTATGGTTCCATTGATCCTCTCTCGAACAGGCAGATTAATAGAGACCAAGGGAACAGTAGAGGTTACCAGGGGCTGGGGAGAGGGGACGGTGGGCGTTGCTGCTTAGCAGGGACAGAGCTTCTATTTGGGTAATGACAGATTTTAGGAAATGCAGAGTGGTGATGGCTGTACAACCTTGTGAACGCGCTACATGCTCCTGGCTTGAACTCTTTAACTTTTTTGGTAGCCATACACCCAGGAAAATGGGTTAAATGCTATTAGATCCTTTTCAGTAATTGATAATGAAGCAAAAGAATATGCTGCTACATCTTACCTGCAGCACTCCTATGAGCAGGTAGCACAACTGAAAAGTCCTTAGCTGGACCTGTTAGTTTTGAAAGCTTCAGTACCATAACGGGTACCTTCCACTGGGAAGGACAAGTGGGTGCAGGTGGCCTGAGAACATTCATCTGCATCTCTAAATACAAAATGAATAAAAATAAGTCTTCTGCACTCTTGTGTTCTGTCGCACGGTCTGTTTTTTGGGGAGGGTGGCGTGGGGTATTCGGACCCTGCGAACTCATCAGATGAAATGTTAGTTAAGTTTACGTGTGAACAGCTAGGTGGAAGAGCTTTGAAGACTATAAAAGCGCTACAAATGCTAGCTTCCTGTCTGAAACAGCTGGGCAGTCCCGCTGGCCACTTGGCCCCTGTGCTGGCCTCCGAAGCATCCTGATGTGACGTCTTTCTCTCCCTTCCAGTATCTGGTGTCTTTGATCCAAGACAACCTAGGGTGGATGTGGGTTTTCTACTTTTTCATCCTTATGGTAAGTTTGTGCTTTTTATATTTTTAAACTAGCTTTTTTTTTTTTTTTTTTTACTAATTTAATTCAAGTACTTAAGTCACTTCTTAAAATGAGAAAAATTGCTGATTGCTTTTAAAGACTTTTTATGAGTCTAAAATATGCATTTTCTTCTCTCAGAGAGGGAAAGGGCCCTGACCTGAGGCTAGTGAGTGTTGCCATTTATAATTCCAGGAAGACAGGAGGCTTCCTTCAAATCCACCAGCCATTAATCAGTGTCCTCTTCTAGGCTGTCATCTGATTTGCTAGCTACAAGTTGAGGATTCTGCAGGAAGTGATGCTGCAGTGCGTGCAGCTCCTCGGTGACGCCGTTCTTGCCCCTTATTGGTGGCCGATGGTCGAGGCAGGTGTACTGAGGGCATCTGGTGAAGCCCAGGTCCACCAGGGGTGCGGGCAGTGCCCTGTCCGGAGATGCCAAACTGAAGGCAACCTTCAAGTCCAGGCAGTGTTCCGCCAGCCTTGTCCAAGAAGTTCCAGGGTGGTCAGTTCTAGGAATTCCCCAGGCCTTTCTGCTGATTGCCTCCTGACCTCTAAACACGGGCCATACAGCTGTTCACCTCTGACATCTGGGCAGAGGGAAGGAACTAGCCTCTGGTTAGCCTGCAGGTGTGGTTGTGGTAGGAATTGTAGTTGAAAACTGGGTCTGTGGTAGAAAGCAGAGGTTTTATCTGAGCTTTATTATCAGTTTCCTGTTCCACCTGAGTCCCATTGTTAAACTCTTCAGTTCTTATGTTTAAAAGATTGACTTATTTATTTGAAAGGCCAGGTTACAGAGAGAGGGAGGTGGGAGAGAAAGAGACGGGCACTGGTCGGGGCTGGGCCAGGCTGAAGCCAGGGGCTCATCCGTGCCATCACGTGGGTGACAGAACGCCAAGCACTTGGTCCATCCTTGGCTGCTTCTCTGGGGGCATTAGGATTGCTGGCTGTGGAGCAGCGAGGACTTGAATCAATGCTAATAAGGAACGCCAGCGTGCCAGACAGCAGCTTAGTATGCTGCCCCACAGGCCAGCCCCCAGTTCTCTCGATAATTGTAATGTGCCATTAAGTAACATCAACTCTGATTTTCAGAATCATTCTTTAATTCATTGGAGATTATAAGCTATCTTTGTGTGAGGTCAAAATGAATATTAACCGTCCAAATCCATTATTATGTTCAAAATCCAATACCCTAACAGAAGTGATTAGGTTGTCGCTGCTCCCTTAATGGTTTTTTTTTCTTCTCTCCCCAGACAAGTTGTACCATTGTGTTCATCTCGCCATTAATAGTGAGGGAAATACGCTCTCTTGTGCGGAGGAGACAAGCTCACATATTGAGCGAGTGACTGGTGCCCACCAGAGAAAAAAGGACAATGGGAGACGTGTCAGTGCTGCAGCGTCTTTTAATTGGCCCTATTTGGGGTTGTCTAGGAGCTCCACAATACCCTCGGCCTGCCAGGCCTCCGCCCGCCCTGCCGGCCATCTGGGATGCTGCCCGGGAGGGCCGTCACTCCACAGCCATGACTGTGGACGACTCTCATCGTTTCATGAATGTACCCGGCGGCCTAGGAGCCTGCCAGTGTCTCAGAGTGAACTCTGGTGGTGATGGACTTGGACCCTCGCTCTCCAGCCCTGAGCCTCAGGCGCGCAGGCACAGCGCGGGTCAGCTCTGCTCTGTCTGCTCCTTCTGCGTCGGTAACGACATTGCACCGGAGGCTTTGTCTGCGAAGTCACCTCTTGATCAAGGGCTCCAGCTGGATTCCACTAGAAGCTCGCTTTGGACGAAAAGTGCCCTGGGAAGTCTCACACTACTTGCTTATCAATTCAGTCACTCTAGCTGACCTGAAAGTCATCCAGTTCTCGCTGCAGGAATATCTTCAAGGCATCTTCAACCCGTTCCCTTCTGTCTTCATTCAGAATGAACTCTGACCCCTGGAAGATTTAGTGTCCCTTCAGTTACCACGCCCAGCCCAGGGCCCAGCGCGCTGGGTACAGCGTTACGCCTGGCCCTGGGCGGGCTGGCTGGGAACTCTGGGGTCTTCCCGGAAGCACAGCTGCCTAGTCTTGTTCGTAGAGGACCGATTTGCGTCACAGTCTGGCTCCTGAAGCTAGCTCGGAGACAAGAAGGGACGAAAAGGGAAAGGCCCCGGCTCCTTGAAGTGCTGACGTGAGACATGGAACTGTGACAGTAGGTTACTAGGGCCCGGAAGCCATCTGTCCCGCAGCGCATCGTGGCCATGTCTTCAAGGCTGTGAACTCTGTGCTAGGCGTCACTGTGTACTGCAGTCCTGTCTGTGTATTTTAAATTATGAAAGTGAACAAGAAAGAAAATGTGCAATCTCATGGGATATTTTTAATTTGCATTGGGTTCAGAAATGTTTTTTAGCCTCTTTATATTCTGACACGTGAGGTCTGTGATGACCTGGATATTATTTAATCATGCAGACTTCCAGTCATTTTATTGCTTATTTTACTGACGAGAGGAGGGAATACGTGAAACACAGGGGGACAATAAACAAAATTTTGTAGTAAATCTTGGTCCAGTGGTGATTTCAGCTTGTCCCGGGGGTTTTGTGTTTGTGTGCTGTGAGCCCCTGGGTGCCCTGCTGTCGGCCCCGAGCGAGGCACCTGGCCGGGCTGTGCGGCTGGGACGGCCGTGTTCCTCCCACGGCCTTTTCCCTTTGTGAGGGATGGACTCGGTCAGACGAACTGTCTTGATGTACTTCAAGAGCTCTGGGGGAACTCCATTTGTTGGTTTGGTTTTATTTTAAAGATATATGTATTTTTATTGGAAAGGTAGATATATAGAGAGAAAGCAGAGAAGATCTTTATCCGCTGGCTCATTGCCCAAGGGGTAGCAGTGGCCAGAGCTGAGCCTATCTGAAGCCAGGAGCCAGGAGCTTTTGAGTCTCCCACATGGTGCAGGGTTCCAAGGTTTTGGCCCGTCCTTGACTGCTTTCCCAGACCACAGGCAGGGAGCTGGGTGGGAAGTGGAGTAGCTGGGATTAGAACCAGTGCTCATATGGGATCCCACTGCATTCTAGGCAAGAACTTGAGCTACTAGGCTATTGCACTGGGCCCAACCTATGCAAAAGTAGTGAGCATCTGGGCATTAACTTCATTGTCTTTATTCTCTCATAAAGAAGGCAAAATTGAAGGTTAATTTGAAAAATGCATCTTCTTTTAATTAGATTTTTTGAAAGATTTACTTTATTTGAAAGACATCTGCTGTTTCATTTCCCAAATGGCCACAACAGCCAGGATTGGGACAGGTGGAAGCCAGGAGCCTGGAATGCCATCTCAGTCTCCCTAGGAACCCGAGTGCTAACATCATCATCTGCTGCCTTGGGAGCCACGTCAGCAAAAGGCTGGATTAGAAGTGGGGCAGTTGAGACATGTGGTGCAGTGGGTTAAGTTGCTGCTTGTGGTCCATTTGAGTCTCATCCTGGCTGTTCTGACGCCAATCCAGCTCCCTGCTCATGTACCTGGGAAGTAAGCAAAAGATGACCCAAGTCCTTGGGCCCCTGCCACCCATGCGGGAGACCAGGATGCAGTTCCTGGCTCCTGGTACTGCCGTGGCTCAGCTCTGGCCATTGCAGTCATTTGGGGAACGAACCAGTGGGTGATGATCTCCCTTGCTGTGTCTTTCCCTCTTTCTATTTCTTTTCCTTTAGCCACTCTGCCTTTGGAATAAATAAATCTTTTTAACAAATGTTGCATTCATGTTTGCTACTCTGTAACTTTTGGCTCCGTTGTAGTCTTTGTGACTTTGGCAGATGCCCCCATTGGTGAGCAGGGAGACCAGAAAGCCAGTGCTTTACTGCAGCTCCCGCCGTCTAATGCTTGACAGAATCAGGCCTAACTGAACACCAGGTCTTTGCACTGAACGTCAGGGTTCCTCCTGGGGTAACAGTGGCCTCCTCCTTTTTCTGACTCTTCACTGGGGTTTATGTCCAAGGCATCCTCGGTGCAGCCAAGGCCCCGACCCTGAGGCTAAGCCTTGTGAGGCTGTGTGTGAAACTTGCCTGTAGTGCGTGCACCTGCTGCAGGGCTTGGTCCTGCACGACTGGCTGGCTGTGACACCCTGGCCCTGGCTGGCTGTGACACCCTGGCCCTGGCTGGCTGTGACACCCTGGCCCGGGGCCTTGCCTGGGCATCCTGGCCTCTCTGCAATAGCTTCTGCTCCAGTTTGCTTCTTTAAAAAGCACTTCTTGCAGTGGGTCTGTTTGAAAAGTCCAGCACTCCACACACTTGTTACATTGTATTGTCTTGTGTCTTTAGTCAATAAAGGTGTGATTATTTCTTGTGCTGTGCTGGCCAAGTCCGACTCTCCTCTGCCAAGGTCCCTGCTCAGTTATCCTGCTGCCTCATGAATGTTTCATTAACTTGGAATGAGCTTCTTGCTTCTAAAACACCGTTAGCTTTTTATTCTTGCCAGTGCCCTCGGTGTGTGTCTTTTTCCCCATTCAGAAATGAGACAAAGAATTTAGCCAAACCACTTGAAACTATTTTCAATCCTCTTTATTACTTTAGTGTAAAATTTTATCATTAGAAAAATGCAGATAAAGGGGCTCCCTGGTGGGGTCATTGTATTTGGATAAGACATTTATTTATTTATTTATTTATTTATTTATTTATTTAAGATTTATTTTATTTTTATGGGAAAGGTAGATATACAGAGAGGAGGAGAGATGAAGATCTTCCGTCTGATGATTCACTCTCCAAGTGGCCACAACAGCTGAAGCTGCTATTTCACTCCCTCAATGGCCACAGCAGTAGGAACTGAGCTGATCTGAAGCCAGGAACTTCCTTCAGGTATCCCACATGGTTGCAGTTGCCCAAGCATTTGGGCCATTTAAAAAAAAAAAAAAAAAGATTTATTTGTTTTTGTCAGAGAGGCAGATATGTAGAGAGGAGCCCTGGTCACTCTTGGAAGTGTTTTTGACTGCGATCTGGTCACCAGCGTGACCTCTCAACTGTCACAGGGCGAAGTCTCTCCGGATCTCTGCCTCCCTGGGCTCTCCCCACCCCCAACACATCCACGTGCCTACCAATGGCACTGTCACCTGCTCCTTTGGCTCGGAACTGCTCTCATGTACACATGCCCGCCGATCTGCGAGGGTTTCTAGCTATCCAGGGCTTCCCCACCCCTCAACTCACTTCCTCACATCCCGGAGCTGCTCGGCCCCAGTTAGTCACCTTGGTGACACTGCACACCCCTGTTCCCCTTTCTGTCCCATGGCCATCACCCTCCCTCTCCGACACCGCCACGACTCCCCTCTGAGTTAGACACGCATCTTTCCTCACCTGTTTCTTTCCCATTCCATTCATTTTGCATGCCACTGGCAGGCCCTTCTGGAAGCCCCAGTTTGCTTGTCACCCTGATGAGAGGCCTCAAGGGGCTCCCTCCCGCACCAGCTCTCCTCCAAGCTTGTCACTTACAGCACTGCAAATGCAAACCCCACATGCCCTTCCGCTTTCAGGGCTGCGCCTCCTCTTGGAGACACAGGACAGCTCTCCCACCTTCAGGGTTGCCTGCATCTTCCCTCATGGAAATGGCTGTACCTCCGGGGACTCCTGTCTAGCTCTGATGGGGTTGCATGATTCTTTCCATGCTCTGGGACTTAGTGCTTGTTCACAGTGCTTGTGTACAACTCCCCTCTCCGAACTTGGCAGCCACTCACCTGCAGCCTCAGACGCCTTTGTCGCATTCAGGGTTGTCAGGGAAGCTGCTGCTGCCTTCCTGTCTTTCCTCAGCACAGCAGTGTAACCTTGGCTTTTCCAAATGCTCATTCTGCGTGGCCAGTGGCGGTCAGCTCTGTACCCTGTTCAGCAGGCACAGTGCCACGTGAGGACATGACACAGCATGTTCTGATGGACGTCCCTGCCAAGAGTCCAGGAGTGTGTAGCTCTTACCACTTCCACGGCTCCCGGGAAGGAAGCCCAGGGCTGTGTGGGAGGCAGACAGGCAGATAGGAAGCCGAGTGCTGGACTGTCAGTGGAGCTGCATGCACTGCTTGGAGGTTTCCTTAGAGCAGGCATGGGGAGTTTTTGTTTGAATTTTCTGCCAAGAACCATTTGGAGATTTGTAATATTCATGAGCAGGGCATGCAAAATTATCCACTGAAAAATGAGCCTGCTACAGACTGGTTGAATTTAAGTCCTGCCTACAGTTGCTTTAGCAGGGCTGGACCGGTGATTTCAAGGGCAGGCGGGATGTTCCCCACACGTGCCGTAGAGAATCTAGGACTTCTGTCCATACTTCCTGGGTACTTTCTATCATTAGCAGGTGACCCATTGGGTAAACTCCTCAGGTTTGCCTTGCCCTGCCCTCCTGGGTCCTGGGATGACTGCCTAGCAAGACTGAAGCACAAAGCTAAGAAATAAGTGGCCCTCAGCGCCAGTTTCCAAGGATTAGAGAAAGAAGCTAGAAGAATACGAGGTGGATTTTCGCTTTTTGTCGAAGGCTAACACTACGCCAGTCCCCAGTTCTACAATGTTTTTCTCCTGGCAGCCAGACCCGGAAGGAGAGAACCTGTGGAGGGTGCTGAGGTGCCAACACAGGAGCCTGTGTCCTCGGCAGAGCTCAGAATAGCAC